TAATATATATATATATATATATATATATATAGTAATTGTTTTAGTGTATGATTTGTTTTATTTTCATTTGCAGAAAAAGTAAAGAACAAGACTTCGGGAAAAAAGAAGATTTCGGAAAAAGTGAAGAATATATTGAGACAAAACCTAACGATGGAATATGAATTCTACAACTTTATTTGTAAACGTCTTAACGATCAATTTAATATCATTAAAAAGTCCTCTTGATGACTTGAAATGAGGTGCTAGAAAGTGTCCTTTCTGAACATCGCCCATATGTAAAAAGACCCTCCAAATTACGTTAATTTTCTTTCTTTGAATGGCTTGACATAAAATTTTAAATACAATTCCAAGTAGTACACATTTGAAATAAAATCCCTTTAAAAATTACCTTTATATTTATTCGTCAACTTGGTTTACTAAAATTAGAAGATTAAAATTGTTTTTAATTAATTCAAATTAGATTTTTTCAGATATTTTAGGCCAATAAATAATTATAATTCAGAATTCAACTTCCTTACAGAAACTGAAATGCAGATATTTATCAAAACGAAGTCCAACTAAAAGTAAAGGCCCGGCACGGCCAGGTGGTTAGGGCACTCGACTCGCAATCTGCGGGTCGCGGGTTCGAATCCCTGTCCCACCAAAACACGCTCGCCCTATCAGCCGTGGGGGCGTTATAATGTGACGGTCAATCCCACTATTCGTTGGTAAAAGAGTAGCCCAAGAGTTGGCGGTGGGTGGTGATGACTAGCTGCCTTCCCTCTAGTCTTACACTGCTAAATTAGGGACGGCTAGCGCAGATAGCCCTCGTGTAGCTTTGCGCGAAATTCAAAACAAACAAACTAAAAGTAAAAATATCTCGAAAGGGTGTTAAATTTGTTTTTCTTCATTGTAACACACACACACAAGTTTCAGCGTAATATATCAGTTTGTTTATCATTGAACGTTGTTGTCCATAGTATTTTAGTAGTGCAATTAACATAACATTGGTTCGAAAGAGTTCAAAGTTCTTCAAAAGATTTATTTGAAGAATACCTTCCGTGCGGTGGCTCAAAGGTAAGCTTGAAGGCTTATAAAATCTCGAGGTTATATCCCTGCAGCGGGCATAGATAGCCAACCGTGCAACTTTATGCTTAACAGCAAAGTGACTTGAAAAGAACAAAATTATAACATTTTGTTGCTGTAAATTAATTTTTACAACATTGACAATCTTGAGAGATAATTATATATTTCTTAATTTTTTACAAATACTATTTTTTTTTCTTCATTCAGAGGAAAAATTTAAAATAAGTTATTTAAGCTGCTTTGAGTAATTGTTCTTTAAAATTCTAATGACGGTTCCGTAGAAAAACGTATCTTTCTAATAAACTAAAGTACACTTTATACATAATGTTGGCCCGGCTCGCAATCTGAGGGTCGCGGGTTCGAATCCCCGTCCCACCAAACATGCTCGCTCTTTCCGCCGTAGGGGCGTTATAATGTGACGCTGTTCGATGTTAAAAGAGTAGCCCAAGAGTTGGCGGTGGGTGGTGATAATCTTCCCTCTAGTCTTACACTGCTAAATTAGGGGTAGATAGCCCTCGTGTAGCTTTGTGCGAAATTTAAAAAAAAATCTAAATCTACATAATGTTTTTTTATAACTTTCATATACTTTCTGTAAAAAAGTATCAATAATGTTATGTGTTTTATATTTAAATGCCTGTATCACTAGTATTTTTAATCTAATCAGTCTCAAATTGGTGATAATGTGGAATGATTAACATCCGAAATAAAGTTGGAAGACTGCTTGAATGGGTAGTGAAAAACTATTACAAGTTTATCGAAATGGTTTATTTAAGTGGTTTACACTCACAAAAAAGAAACCTATCATTCTATAGGTATTTGAAAAACTTGTAGCATTTCGCCACAATTTAATTCTTCGTATTGTTCAATTATGTACCAGTTGCCGGCT